ACACAAAATTGAAAGTTCAAAGAGTTATTAGAAATTTTTAAAATTTTATGTTCAAAAATTTATTAGAAACTATTTAAAATACATAAAACCTAATAGGAAAGTTCATTACTAAACTTTATAATCTAACTATGATTGAGACAACTTTTGACATAGGATTCTCTTTTGGTTCATATTGATATGGAAAATGAGAGGTATCTAAAGGGTCGTTTAGTAATGTGCCGGTTTCTTGTTTCTTATTTAAACCTAAGATTTTATTTTATTTATTATATTTTTATTTTTATAAACTTAACTCAGTAGTAATTGACATATATCTCAAAATAAGAGGTTGTGAGTTCGATTTCCCACCCCACATCTTATACTAAAAAAAAGTTTCTTGTTTCTATTTCCAATTTGTTCTAAAACATAAATAAAATATTATTTTATCATTATTAAATCATGAGTATTGGGGTCTCACAGTCCTATTTTTCTTTACTAAAAACGAGGAAAAGGAAATAAGAAACGGAAACATTATCGAACGGTCCTACTTGATGAGTTGCTAAAAATAAGACATTGTGATTTGTTTTTTTGGGGGGAAAGGGACTTTACAAGCTGTTGTTTGGGCATAGAAGCAGCTTTAAAGTGAAATGTGCAAGACAAGTAAGGAAGAATCATTGCCAATTAAGCATTAGACAAAGGCTGAATTTGAAACAACCACACAATTGGCCTTCTTCCATGTAAGAGTTGGAAAGTGGGATTTGGATTTTTGTGATAATATATGTTTATCATTTTATTTTTTAAAAGGATGAATTTTTAACTTTGAACTTGTTTTTGTGTATGAATTTTTACCGTAAACTTTTGATTTCATCAAATTTCATCTAATTTAAGTAATTAGATAAGTGTCGCAATATTCATTTTAAAATTTAAAATGAATATTTTGGGCTGAATAGCCTTTCAACACGAAATATTGTTTTTATTCATTTTTTTTCAAAACCCATATTTTCTAATCTTTGTTTACATCGATAGCAATTTATTTTCATTATCCATTCACTCATTTTTTTTAGATTTCTCTCTCTTATTCCCACTCTCCTTTTCCAGAATTTTTTCCCTCTTTTCCAGGTTTTTTTTCCTCTCTCATTTTTCATTAAATCATTCTTTCTTTTCCTTCTTTTCTTCTCTTTTTCATTATTCTTATTATTCTCTTTTTCTCGCAACACTATGAGTATTTTTCTTAATTTTTTTTCCTTTAGGTTTCTCTTTTCCTTCTTCTCTTTTTTTCTTTTTAACTAGTGGAAGAGGAGAGAGAGCGAGAGGAAGACGCGAGAGAGGAGAGAGGGAGCGAGAGGAAAAGATAACGAGAGGGAGAGAGAGAACGGGAGGAAGAGAATGAGATCGAGAGGAAGAGAGAGAACGGGAGGAAGAGAATGAGATCGAGAGGAAGAGAGAGATTGAGAGATTTGTTTCGTGATTAGTTCAAATAATTAAAGAAATAAAAAAATCTTAAACAAATTTAGATTAAATTTTAAATAATTTAATTTCTTAAAAATCTATTAATAAAATGAATAAAATTCCTAAATTATTAATTTAATTTGGAACCAACATTCATCCATTTTATAAAATGAATAAATTCAAATATTTTAAAATAAAATGTTGTTTATCTAAATAATAATAGTAATAATAATAAAATTTGATTAATTTAAATGAAGTGTAGAACAAAGTAAATAAATCAATCGGTTAAATTCAAATTCAAATTGATTAACAAATGATTTAGAGATTAAAGATTTGTTGAATTAAAAATTCTGAAAATTAGAATTAAGAAAATAAAATCTCAATCGCTCCCCATTCAAATTTGAAATTTAATGCAAATTTGTTTAAGAATTTTTTTCTTTTCCTTGATTATTTGAACTAATTACTTAAAATAGAAAATAAATCTCTCTCCTTCCTCTTCTCTTCCTCTAGTTCCCTTCCTCTCTCTCTCCCTCCTGCTCCCTCTCCCCTCTCTCCTGCTGGTTAAAAAAAAAAAAGAAAAAAGAGAATTTTAGAAGAGAGAAAAAAAAGAAGAATGAAAAAAGAGAAGGAAAAAGGAAGAGAAAGAATGAATTAATGGAAAATGAAAGAAAAAAATCTGAAAAAAAAGAAAAAAGATTCTGAAAAAAGAGGAAGGGAATAAGAGGGAGAAATCTGAATAAACATTAGAAAAGTTTTGAAAAAACTGGGTAAAAAATAGTACTGTCTTGGCAGAAGCGCTATTCTTCAAACAAAAACAACGTGGTGAGCATGAGAACCCGAAAAATCGAGCCGACCGACTGAAATCGATCGAAAGTCGATACCGACCGACCGAGTATAGTTAATTTGTTTGTTTTTTTATTTTTAAATTTTAGTTTTTAAAGATTATAAAATAAATTTGAAACTATCAAATCAGGTTTACCAACCCTTCCCTCTCTCATTTCACATTTTCCTTCCTCTTTTACTCTCTTTGCCGCTCTGCCCGCCCCCACCATCTGTTCTCATCTCCCTCGCCGCGTCGCCCGTCCCCTCCCTCTCTACTCTCATCTCCCTCGCCGACAAACCGACAAAAAAAGGAAACGAATTAAAAGAAAAAAGGTTGTCGGTTTATCGGCTCAGCATTAAACGGAAACCGTTGGTTTCCAAATCTGGAAATCAACGGGGTCGGTTGACCGACTGATGATCAGCCTTAGCTAATACTTTTGTTGATATCTCTTGTTTAATGGTCAATTTTGTTCATTAATCAAACTAACATTAAAGGAAAAGTCGTGAGTTGGAATCCTGATCTCTAATTCTTATACTTGAAATTAAAAAAAAAAAACGTTAGACCATCTGATTTTTTGCAACCCTCAATTTATCCTATTGTTTGACTTAGTGTATTGAACCTAGATCCAAATCACGTATCAACATAATTGATTTTTGATTAATTCATTATACTTATTTTCTTGAGAAATTATAATTTCTGATCTCAATGCCCTTAAAGTATAATACCCCTTAAATAAAGCACGGATATTGAGATACTATTTTAATTAAACTATAATCTATAAATTTACAAGTCCTTTTAATAATCCTTCACTTTTTCTGTTTTTGATTTTTAGTTTTTTAATTTTGAAAAATACACTTTTTAGAATTGTATTTAATAGATATATGAATTTTAAAAAATTGTCTCACAGGTCTTCTAACCCTTTTGATAACCCTAATGTTTTATGTTTTTGTGGTTTTTAGTTTTTTAATTTTAAAAAAACATATTTGTTTAATAACAATTTCAATTCTATGTTTTTGGTTTTTTAAAATCGATTTTGAAATTCTTAGTAAATAAAAAAAGATTTTAAAAACAAATTTCCGTTTTCAAAATCTCTTTTTTTTCCCTAATGTTCAATTTTTTTTTCTTTCGACATATTTTTCTCTAATATATATATTTTTTCATTTTAAAATATTGTCCGCCTAAATTCCTCTCTAAAACATTTATCTCTCTCTTAAAATTTTTCATCAGTAAAATGTTTACTATTATTTCTCTTTAAAATTTTATATTTTTTCGTTTTTGTTCTAATATATTACTCTCTTTTTTATATATTTAAAAATTTAATATGTCCCCAACGTTTTTCATCCTCAAATTTCACCTTTTATAACTTTTATTTCCCTTTCTAATCTATTTTTTTCTAAGAAATATATCTAACTTTTCTCTCACTAAATTTTTTTCTAACTTTTCTTTATCTCTCTAAAGTTTCTTTTATTTTCATATCTCTACATTAGAGATGACAAATATTCTCGAAGGTCGAGTCCTTGCTTAAGCATAGATAATGTATTTCTCATCATGTCCCATTCCCGATTCTATTTTTTAAATAAATAATTAATATATATTTTTAAAAACCAGAAAACTAAAAACATAAAAGACAAAACTAAAAACCAAAAACATAATTATTATCAAATGGACCCTCTGATTTCAGGATTGTGTCTAATAGATGATTGAATTTTTTTTAAAAATGTCTAAATAAGTTCTTGAACTTTTAATTTTGTTTCTAATAAGTTCATAAATTTTAGAAACTATCTAATAGGTTCCTAAACTTTTAATTTTATGTTTAATAGATCATTGTCATATTTGAACTTTATAAAAATTCACGAACTCATTAACATAAAATTGAAAGGTCATAATTTAAGACAGAATTCAATTTTGTGTTTAATAGATTCCTGAACTTTATAAAATATAAAATATACATAAAATATAACCAGGACTAATTAGACAAAGTTCATGAACATAGTAGGCATTTTCAAATTTATAGGAACATGATAAAATTTTAAATTCAGAGGCATTAGACACAACCGTGAAAATCTTAAAAGTTCCTGGACTAAATTTAACCTAAATTTTAGAACGAAAGACCCAAATTTCTGCGCAGGCACAGGAATATTTTGGATTGTGTTGCGCAGCTTCTTCTGAGAATTATGGCTCCACCTAAGTTCCAGAATTTAGATACCAAAAAAAAAAAAAAAACACATAACGTTCAAAAGAAACATATCTGAGATGTGAGCTTTGAATGATAGGGCATCTCATCATTTCTGCAAGTTCATTCCCAAGGAAAACTAACGTTCAAAACAAACATAGCAGCCTCAAGAAGTTGCAGAAATGAAAGATTGAACTTAGAACAAGAAACAAGAACAAAGATGATATTGGGATTTTTAGTGGTTCAGTGGAAAGAAAAAACGTATCCATGTTTGGTTAGATTGGTATTAGGATAGGGTCGGGATATTATTAAGGTACAAGTGTATATTAGTAATTAAGTTAGGGGTTTGGTTATACATACTGTGAGGGGGTAAAGATGAAAGTAGGCAATTAGTGAGTATGTCTTGGGCTTGAGTAAGAATACTCGAGAGAGGGGAGGGTCCAAGTACCTCGAATTATTTGAAGATATGGTAATTATTCTATCTTTTATATTTCAATATACAACTAGTGTTCGGGTTCTAACAAAAACTAGTGGGCAGTTTAGGTAAGATATTTTAATTATCAGAAGAGAAGATCCAAATAAATGAAGTTATTATACACCCTTACCAAAGCTACCAATAAACTACATAAAGAATCCACTATACTACTACTATAATACTCTCTCTTCTCAAAGGGGAAGAACAAAAAAAAAGAGATAAATTTTATTGACACTTTAAATTTCAGAATTTTAAAAACTATATGATATATTCCACAATCTAAGGGTCTACAAGAATGAAACCTTTTAATTTCTCTGTCAAAAGGCAATCCTTTCACCAGCAAATGGCCAGAGTGGAGGCCTCAATCCACTCTTCTGTCAAAAGGCAATCTTCTGTCATTTGGTTCTGTTTGACATCTTCATTCTCTCTTTTTCTCAATGTCACAAGAAAATCTAACACTTGGTCGTTGGGAGCACTGTCAAAGACAATGAGATTTCAATGATTAAGCAAAGATAATCTTCAAAGGCTTGACATTGGATGGAGGAAAATTTGACTGTTAAATGGAAGAAACAAATATTGCTAATATATGGAGACATTACTGTGATTCTGCAATGAATGTCAAGTTCATAGTTCATTTGTAGAAAGCGATCTTTTGCAATTAACTCTGCTTCAGCTGCTTTCCTGCAAGCTTCTTTCACCTGTAAAAGTAGGAAGAGAACTCAGATATTTCAGGGTCAAGGTCGTTACACGAGTAGTATGTAGGAAATTCCGTCAGCCTCGGGTTTGTGTCATGCTAAATCCCGCCATTAGAAATTAAGCAAAGTAATTACTTTCTTCCTGTTATATGAATCCATTATTCTCTAAAGATAATGAGATTTACCAGTGTAATGTGTGTGTTACAGTAGCACTCTAATGTCCTAATGAAATACTGAAGTTTTGGAATAAAATGACTGTCATTCCATTAACATGTAAAACAAGAAATATATCAAAGCTCAATATATAATTCTAATTTAAGAACTTACCTTAGTTGAATGATATCCTGCATCTCCTTTTACACCATCAGAAAATCTTTCTAGGACATCACGGAGAAATGATAACTCTTTCATCAAATCTGAAGCGACTTCTTCAGCATCTTGCAGTTGATTTCTGGAAAATTCGAATGCTCTCTCGGCGTGGAGACGAAAAGAGGAACAGTTCAAACAAGTGCAGATTCCTCTGCATCCTCGTGGGTTTCGTTTAAGAATTCCCTTTTTAACATTGATGCAATTTTCTGGCAGAATACATGCTCCTGCGCCTGAAGAATTAGGTCCTAAGCTGTTTCCATCGGAGAGTTTAGCACCATCCGAAACATTATCTGTTAAACTTGTGCAGTCTTCTCCAGTCAGAGGCTCATAACTGCCAGAAGGATTCGATGATGAGACTGCTTGATCATTTGAAACTGCTGCACCATGTAATTGAGGGTCCATTTCCATTTTACCTTCATCCAACATCTGTTCAGAGTGCAGCTGATGCATCTGTAATTTTGATGGTGATAGAAGTTCATCATTAACTTCAGCGGGCGTCAAAATTTTTTCTGTTTCACAAACCGTTTCGTTCATATTCTTCGACAAAGTATCTGAATTTCCATCGCATGGCTTGTTGCAAGATACCAACCCTTCTGATTTATCCAGGGAATTGTGAGAATCTGAACTCGGTTGTTGCAGATGCATAGTTGCCAATTCGTTATCTGGTCTGGGACAGTCGATGTTTTCCAAGACACCTGAAAAAAAGTAAAATAAATTATAAAAATTACACATTAACATTATCAAAAACACATCTTTTTATGGAAGATTATCAATGCGGGAGCGGATGCATACAGTTCTCCGAATTATCTTTGAAAAGATCCTCAAGGAATGGAAGCATCCTTCGATAGCTAACTGAAACTTGGCCAGCAAATTGCTTCAGTTGTACAAGTGGGTTGCGAACCTAATGAATCGTTAATCATATTAGTAATATAGAAAACAAAAACCCAACAATAATAATAGTTTGACGATCAAATTGGGATGCAACTCTCCAGAACTGCAGAAAATTAAATAACAAATTATGCAAGATTCTTTGAGGGAGGTAGCAGAAAGCACACAAGAAAATCATTTCATGTATCTTACCGATTTGTTTCTAACTAGGGAACCATGTTCCTTGTCACTCTCTAAGGCCATGTTGCTATGATTTTCACCAATAGTAGAACCACCAAGAGTTTGATCTGCACCTCGAGTACATTCCACTTTTTCATCTCTCCTTTCTTCCATAATTGGGTAACAAGAGATGTTGGCATCCAATGATGACATCTGGAGTTCTTTGTTCACATAATCCTCTTTTTCTATATCCTCAGAAACGTTGTTACTCAACTTCTTTGAATCATCTAACTTGGAGTTTTCTACTTCTGATGAAACATTTGAAGATATAAAAGAATTCCCACCATCAATCCTCTCCAATCTGGAGGTTTTAGATTGCTCATTATAAGAAACATGCTCTATGTGATGCTTTGTGAGCCCTCCATTCTCTGTCAGCACTTTGTCATGAGAAGAGGCACAGACCGCATCATCCTTTTTCAAACCAGAATCCCCTTTCACTAAATTCAGCTCATTGTTTGAATCACTGCACTTTTGATTTCCAGAAGGATTGCCATTCTGAAAACTTTTAGTATCCCTATTATCTGGAGGTGCTAAATTTGGCTTCGTAGCCTTACATGACATGCCAGAGATAAAAACCGATTTCTTTACACAAGTATCTGAATCAACAAAACACAACTCCTTGTCATGATTAGGCAGATTAGATTCAATGTTAGGCTTCTTCTCCAAATTGCTCTCGCGTTTCGGGTACGGATCGCCTTGTACGGTGTCTGTAGTATACGAACAATATAACTTAAGTTAGAGCTAAAAAGAAACCTGGATAAATAGTAAACAACATAGCAGTTATAGAAGTTACAGTTATCGCTATCCAGCAAAAATGGTAGCAATCTTTTGTAGGCAAGGGAGCCAGGTGCTTTGAATAGCTTCCGTTTAAGGCATGGTTTGAGCACCTAATTCATCAATTCGAGACCCAAATTAGATCAGCTAAAAACAGAGAATATCTATAAGCATATCAGTCGCCATGAGTATATATATAGTTTTGTTTTCTTCAACCATTCATTTATGATACTAATCCTAAGAGATCGTAGACTGAACCAACAGGAAAGCTTGCAAGAAATCAAAGTCAATTTGATCGAGATAATTACCGATCCGGTTCTAGTAACAGAGTACATTCTAGTGTCAACTTTCGCATAAGTATTACTTGACCGAGGACATCCATCTGAAGAAGCCACCGCCAAAATCTCGGCATCAGGAGGAGTAGAATGCCCTAATTCCTCACTCTTCCCGTCAAATCTCTGCTCAACAAACCCACTGGAATTGCAAACATCCAGATTCCGTACCTCGGGAGTCTCGGAGATCTTTCCTACTCCTTCATCTTCATTCGGACAACTTCCATTGGCGATTATCAGCCCTTCTTTATCGCTAATCTGCTCTCCCGATGAGCCACTCCCATCGGGTAAATTCCGGGAGAAGACTCGCTTGATACGTAGATCCTTTGCTACAAAGCGCGAAACTCCATCCCCATCTTTGGAAGGAAATTCATACGGCTGCGGCTGCCTCCTAGGCCTTTTGCGGGGTGAGAGGAGAAATCCAGATTGTAGAGCTTGAGGTTGATTAATGGCGGAGCAGCGTTTGGAAGTCTTGGCTCCGAGCTCTGATTCCATGGATGATTCTTCTGAGGGAACACAGAATCGATGGCGATGACAGTCTATGAGAGTAAGAGAGGGAAAGAGAGATGGCGGGAAGCTCAAGGGGAAACCGCGCTGGTTTGTGTTTATGGCAGGAAATTGATGGGAATGATGCTTCATTATTGGGCCGGCCCAAGCATGAAAAGCAGGCTAACCTTGGCCCAAGCCCAAGTTCGACATGCTTTATAAGACGTCATTTGAGTTTGGGCCGGATTTGCCCAACTTCCAACCATCACACTTATGAGTTTTATGGTCCTTGTTTTATACCTTGTGAAGAATGGCCGAATGATTTTTTATTAATAAAAAAATATCCATTTGTATTTTTTCATTTCATAGGTTTGATTTTGACAATTTTACCATTTTTATCTTTTTTTACAATTTTATTTGGACAAATTTTTACCCTTTTAACTGTTTCAACGGAAATAAATATTTGTTTCAACTGCTTCTTTTGTTATTATTTTTAAAATCAAAATATTATACTCTCTCTTAAATTCAAAAAAAAAATTATCTTTTTTACTCCGTTATCTCTCATATTTTGTTGTTATATTTTATCACATAGATTTTTGTAACTATCTCACTTGTTTGAAAATATATATACATATATAAACAGAACTTACACAAGGAACGATGCACCAAGGAGACACGATCAAAGTAGGGAGGAGATTAAAATTGAGCCAAGGAGACAAATTGAGCCAGGGAGACGTGACAGTGGGTATTAGCGGAGGTTGAGAGAGATGCCGATGAAAGGACTGTCTAGGCAACGATGTGCGATGAAGGAAGTGGTTCAATTTGCCTATTTTTTTAATGTATTATTAATTTTGATTAAAAAGTTAGTCGTTCAATCTTCTATTTTTTTTCTCTCAAAACAAATTTCATCTTTTTTCATCTTTTAAAAATACAGATTTGCTTCACTTTTTTTTCTTAAATGTATTATTAATTTGAAATAGAAATTTAGTCTTCTATCATCTATTTTTTCTCTCAAAATAAATTTCAAACATTTGATTTTCCTATCTATAGGGTTTGAGGGTTTGTTCATCGTATTTGTTCATTTCTCTATTTATAATTATATTTTGTATTAGCCAGGTTTCAATAATTATTTTAGATTTTAAATTAACGAATATTGTTTATCTATATTTTTTGAAGTATAAAAATCCTAAAAAATAGGTTGGCAAAATATTATAATTATCCTATAAATACGAGGGAGAAAAATATGGTTACGACTCTCCTATCAAATAAAAAGAAAAATAATTTGGTAGGATTTCATTTTAAAATCATTTTAGGGAGGAGTAATTTGGTATTTAAAATGAGAAGATATCTTCCTATATTTTGAACTTGGTCATTCTTCAAAAGTTTGAGTTGTATTAAAGTAATATGTTCATTATATCAGTTAGTTGTATAGTTGGGTAGTTAGTGATATTTGTGTCACGTTAATTAAGTGACATCTGTATTATTTATATGGCAACTGTTTCATTTTGAAATCAATGAGAACAGAATTTGTCCACGTTTAGTCTTATTATGGTATCAGATGTAAAACTTTTTCCGTACGAAACTCTTTCTTGATTTTCACCATGCCGCCAAATGATGATTTGCCCGTCGACGATCCTCCGATTGATTCATCACTGATTGATCCACCGATTACTCCACCATTATCTTCATCATCGATGTTGCAATCTGCTTCACTGCCTGGTACGGATTCTGTTTTCAGCCCTTATTATCTGCATCATACGGATAATACCGGCCTTGTTCTTGTTAATCAACTTCTTACCGAAGAAAATTATACGTCCTGGAGCCATTCGATGAAAATCGCACTATCCGTCAAGAACAAGTTGGGTTTTATTGATGGATCGATTACTCGACCTTCTGGTGATCTTCTCAGTGCATGGATTCCCAATAATAATGTTGTCATTGCGTGGATCCTTAATTCCGTCTCTAAGGAGATCTCTGCTAGCATCCTTTTTTCGAAATCGGCTCGAGACATTTGAAGAGTAATGGACCTCGAATCTTCCAATTGAAGCGTCAACTTGCAACGATTTCTCAAGAGCAGAATTCTGTAAGTCACTACTTCACCAAACTCAAGTCTGTTTGGGATGAACTTCAACAATATAGGCTAGTTTGCACTTGCTGTACATGTGGTGGCACTAAATCTGTAGCGGAATTTCTGCAATACGAGTATCTTATGAACTTCTTGATGGGCTTAAATGAGTCTTATGCCAATACTCGTGCTCAATTACTTCTCATGGATCCTCCTCCATCCATTAACCGAGCTTTCTCTTTGGTTAATCAAGAGGAGCAACAACGATCCATTGGTGGCTCTTCTTATACGAATACTCAAAATTTTGCCCTAGTTGTGCCCCAGCCATCGAGCTCTGGTAAATCAACCACAAAATCATCGAATTCTAGCAAAATGCGGAAGGAGCGCCATTCTGCACAGAGGCCACACTATTGAACGCTGTTATAAATTACACGGCTATCCGCTAGAATATAAATTTTCTAATCAGCGATCGCCGCCGTCATCTTCTGCTAGTCCACAGACAAAATCCATTGATTCCTCAGCTTTAGCGGTTACTTCGCCGTCTTCAGATATCACCACTCAGTATCAACAAATTATAAGTTCGTTACAATCTCAAATGGCCGCCTCTAAGCCGACTTCGTCCGCTACTGCTGTTGATCCATCTACTTCTTACATGGCGGTACGTTACATTGTTTTCTGCCTTTCCAAAAGAATTGGATTCTTGACTCGGGTGCCTCTGCTCATATATTTTGCACTCGGTCAATGTTTACATCGATATCACGAATTTCTCCTGTGTTTGTGAGTCTACCGAATCAGTTAAGATTTTTAGTGGAATTCAGTGGTTCTGTTTCTATATCAGATGATCTTCTTCTACATAATGTTTTTTACGTACCACAGTTCAGCTACAGCTTACTGTCGATCAGTGTTTTGACCAGGGATTTACCTCATTTATGTGCAATCTTCTCTAATGATTCTTGTCTTATTCAAGACAAGTCCACTTCGAGGCTGATTGGCAAGGGTAATATGAGCAATAGGCTATATTTTCTTGGAACAACTACTGGTGATGTGAATTCTGTTTCTCATGATTGTCATGTTTCTTTCAGTGTGCATAAACCTTCTTTTGATGTTTGGCATAGTCGTTTTGGCCATCCATCTTTTAAACGCATTCATGCTTTGTGACATTCTTTGTTTTTTGATGATGTTAGTGCAAAGAGTCATTTATGTTCCATCTGTCCTCTTGCAAAACAGAAATGATTATCCTTTGATTCTCATAATAATATGGCTGATGCACCTTTTGCTTTGATTCATGTTGATATCTGGGGTCCGTATACTCATCCTACATATACTGGCTGTCGTTATTTCCTTAGACCCTACATATACTGGCTGTCGTTATTTCCTTACCATTGTAGATGACTGCAGTCGTTTTACTTGGATATTTTTGTTGCGCAATAAGTCTGATGTGGCCTCTATTGTGCCTCACTTTTTCACATATGTTGAGACCCAATTTAACACCCGAATCAAAGTCTTTCGTTCTGACAACGCTCCTGAACTTTTGTTCATAGATTTTTTTTAAGAGTAAGGGAGTTATTCATCAATGGAGTTATTCATCAATTCTCCTGTGTTGGTCGGCCCGAACAAAATTCCGTAGTCGAACGTAACATCAACACATTCTTAATGTTGCTCGAGCCCTCTATTTTCAGTCTAGAGTGCCTATTAGTTTCTGGGAGGATTGTGTTTTAACAGCAGTGTTTTTAATCAACTCGACCCCCTCACCTACTTTACACTGGCATACTCCTTTTAAGTGTTTGTATGGCCGTGATCCTGACTATTCAATGCTTCGGGTTTTTGGTTCATTGTGTTTTGCTTCTACATTGTCTGCACATCGAACAAAGTTTGAACCACGCTCATCCGCTGCTGTCTTTGTTGGTTATCCGGCTGGAATGAAGGGATATCAGCTTTATGATTTGCAGACTAAGAGCTTTTATGTATCTCGTGATGTGGTCTTTCATGAGAATCGTTTTCCCTTTCATGATGCCTTTGTTTCTCAACCAATTGATCCTTTTCCCCATGTGGTTCTTCCTCTAACTACTGATTTTTTGACTGATACAGATGTTGCTCATACTACTAACAACACTACTGCTGCATCTCATGGCAGCCCAAGTGATAGACCTGATACTTATATGAATGGTCATAATGATACAATTAACAATATTCTTATTGCTCCAACAACTGTTGGTCCATCTTGTGATCAAAAAGTTGATACTTCTAATGGCCCTACTGCTGGTGATATTAGTCATGGTGATATTTCTGCTGAGCTTATCAATACATCAACATCAGTACCTGAGTCTCTTACATAGGAGCAATCTATATCCATTCCAACCGGCTCTACTACCAGCCAGCCACATTTACGAAGATCTATTCGAGCTTCAAAGCCCCCTTCCTATCTCAAAGACTATCATTGTGCTCTTTGAATGGGGATGACTTGCCTACATGGTTCACCAGGCATCCGATTCACAATCATGTGTCTTATTCCAGATTCTCCCAGTCCCATTATTCGTTGGCTGTCAGTATTTCTTCTGTGGATGAACCCTGTTTATACAAGGGTTTGCACAACGGTTCTTCACGAATCAAGCTCGAACCCGGTCTCCGGTTCCGACCTGAGCACTAGGGTGGACCTGCATAAGAGGGTAAGCACTCTGACGCTCAAGTCAGTATAGATCGGACTCTGTATTTAGTTCGAGGTGAGATTCGATACCTGAGCATGAAATGAAGCCCTCTATTTATAGGTGATGGTTACGCACGACCGGCGGTTATATGTCTTTTCTCATATCGGACCTGTCGGGTTCCGAGCAGGTCGGACCCCAGCCAGGTCAAACCTTGACACCCAATTCTTTCATAATGGGCGAACCCGGTCTCCTCGGTAGGGCCGAGGTAGACCTTGGCAATCCCTCTTATTCAGTTTCTTCAAACACCAATAAGGGTCCTCCACATGTCCCGGGTATGTATTACCCCTAAACATTGGCCCCCTCTCTGTTAGGTTCGATCTCGACCTGACAGAGAAGTTCATTCGAATCCATTCTGGACACGTGGCGACTTTTCATTTGTAGAGGGAATATGACCGTTGCGGAAGACGTTTCGATCTGCCAGGTTGTCGGAGCACTCGAGTATTCCGTCGTTGCAGATCTCGAGAAGATCCTAGCCGCTCGTTGATTACACGTGTACGGCGCAGAGGTTTTTCCGATTAGTTATAAATGGTCCCGAAACTTCAGGTCAAACCTTACGTTTCCTGAATTTCTAGAGTTCGATCTGAAACCAGCTCGAACCCTTTCTGTAGGTCAGTCACTTTTCCTTGCTCTTACTATTCTTTCAAACATGGTAGTTTTCTTGTCTTCCCCTTCCAGTAGTGATAGCCTGTGTAGTGTAGGTCGGACTATAAGTAGTTCACCCCCCAAACCAAGCGATTCTGGGGAGGTCTTAGCTCGTAGGTTAGAGTCCGAGCTAGAAAAAATTGAGAACTTTAGGTTCTCAGATGATGGAGAGGATAGTGATACCTCCACTTCGGGCCAGGGTCTGGAGTACCCTTCAAAGATGCCCGAACACTATCTCGGACCCCTCCGTAGGGGGTTTAAAATTCCGAATGATATCCCTCTTAAGATTCCAGAGGAAGGGGAAAGAGCTGACAATCCTCGAGAGGGATGGGTCACTCTTTATTTAAAGATGTTTGAGTACGGCCTCAGACTTCCCCTTCATCCTTTTGCCCAAGAGTTCTTAAACCGAACTGGACTGGCTCCTGCTCAACTGGCCCCCAATGGGTGGGGTGTCATTTTTGCTTTCTCCATTCTTTTTTGGTTGCGAGCTCGGGACGAGGATGAGGCCGAGCTACTAAGCGTTGACCAACTTCTTGGGTGTTTTGAGGCCAAGAGGATAGCTAAAAAACCAGGTTGGTATTATATGTGCACGAGGAAGGGCGCTGGTGGTATAGTCAAGGGGCCAACCTCCATCAAAGGATGGGTAGGTAAGTTGCTCTTTGCCTCAGGTGAATGGCTGGCAAAGGACGAGTCAGGTCGTCCCTTCTTTGACGTGCCTGTTAGGTTTGGGAACCTAGGTATGAGGCCGTTGCGTTTTTCCTCTTTGAATTTTTCTATTCTTCCTTTTTCATGTCTAACTTGAATCTTTTTTTTTCTTATGCAGTGTCAATCAAACCGATTCCCGAACTTGCTCAAGCCACCTTCGATACCCTTAAATACTACAAGGATCACTTCCCCAGGGGTCGGAAGATCGGAACCTTGGTCACCGACAAGCTACTCTTGGAGTCGGGGCTACTAGACTACAACCCTCTTGTCCGACCAATTGAAGCTTCAAGGCCAAACTCTAAGCTCGGTAAGCCGTGTTCGGTCTCGACTTCAGTATTAACTTTCCTTTGATCTCTAACTTTATGCTTGTTTATTTTGCAGCAATGGTGTGCGAGTTCACTGGAAGTGTGTAGCGTAAGTCCAAGGGCCGTGCTCACGCCCTCAAGACCGTGGTGGGTACTGAACCGGTGACGCCTACGGTGCCACGGACTGAGGCTCAGGGTAACTCTGGGCCATCCTCTGCAGTCCCCACCCCCGTGATCGAGCTAGACTTGTNTCCCTTCTTTGACGTGCCTGTTAGGTTTGGGAACCTAGGTATGAGGCTGTTGCGTTTACCTCTTTGAATTTCTCTATTCTTCCTTTTTCATGTCTAACTTGAATCTTTTTTGTCTTGTACAGTGTCGATCAAACCGATTCCTGAGCTTGCTCAAGCCACCTTCGATACCCTCAAATACTACAAGGATCACTTTCTCAGGGGCTGGAAGATCGGAACCTTGGTCACCGACAAGCTACTCTTGGAGTCGGGGCTACTGGACTACAACCCTCTGGTTCGTCGAATTGAAGCTTCAAGGCCGAACTCCGAGCTCGGTAAGCCGTGTTCGATCTCGACTTCAGTATTAACTTTCCTTTGATCTCTAACTTTATGCTTGTTTATTTTGCAGCAATGGTGTGCGGGTTCACTGGAAGTGTGAAGCGCAAGTCCAAGGGCCGTGCTTACGCCCTCAAGATCGTGGTGGGTACTGAACCGGTGACGCCTATGGTGCCACGGACTGAAGCTCAGGGTAACTCTGGAACATCTTCTGCAGTCCCCACCCCCGTGATCGAGCTAGACTTGTCTGGGGGTCGATCTGGTGAGAAGCGTCCAAGGGAGGAGTCTGAGGCGCTTGACATATCTCCCCTGAACGAGGTTAGGGGAGAATCTCCTTTGAGGAGAAGAAGAAAGAAGAAGAAGACTTCCTCCTCCTCGGAGGCTGGGGCTCGTGGGACTCTGCCTACGAGCCATGCTAATTTGGTGGGTGACCCCGAAGCTCGGATGGGGGAACATTCGATGTGAGAATGCGGTTCAGGATGGAATCGTCGAGCTCCGGGGTGAAGGACCAGGTGTCCCGCATCTCGGCCACGTGCTTGGACCGCTGTCTGAGGAGAGCATCCAGGTTCGTGAGTGATCCTGGGTCCGTACTGCAGAGGACCATTGACAACGCTGCCGAGGTAAGACCTACTCTTGTGTCATTTTTTACTCTCAATTTTCAGCTTGATCTAACCATCGTGTTCTTTGACTTCCGCAGGCGTTTATCGCTTCCATTCATTCAGCGGTTATGGTCAAAGCCGAACTGGATGGAAGAGAGGCTTTGACAGCAAAGGAGAGAGAGAACCCCTCTACTACCTTAGAGGCTGCCACTACGCTGAAGGGCGAGCTACTAAAGGCTCAAGGTGAGGTGGATATTTTAAGGGCCGAGGTGGATGCCAAGACCGATCTCTTGAAGAAGGAAGGTGAGAAACACAAGGCCCACCTCCGAGCAGCCCATGCTATCACCAAGGGGCTGGAGAAGGAGAAATTCCAGCTCTTGAAGGAGAAGGACGACCTTGCTCAAGTCCTTGAGAAAAAGGACGCCTCAATTGGGCGCCTTACGACTGAGCTCAAAGACCTGAAGGAGCGCCTTACAGATGGAGCCCTGCTGGAGGAGTCGTTCAGGCAACACCCAAACTTCGACGGGTTCGCCAAAGACTTCAGTGATGCTGGCTTCAAGTTTCTGATGAAGGGCATTGCTGCCGACATGCCTCATCTTCAGATCGATCTCAGCGATCTCAAGAAGAGGTATTCTGAGAACTGGGCTTCTGGGCCTAACGGTACTCCTGGCCCCCAATCCCTGGTGGACAAGTACGTTAGGGAGCTGGACTCTGACTACTCCGACATGGAGGAAGAGGATGCCCCTAGTCAGGAGCCTACTAAGGTCGGCACGACCCAAGAGGAGGCTCCTTCACAGCTGGGCGGCCCCAGGAGATCAACCTTCTGAGCTCCCAGGGCGAGCTGTCCTCCCACCTCGGAAGTAGCTAAGGCTTTCTGTCCTTCTCTTTTCTTTTATTTCTTTTGTAAGTTTTTTGGGCAGAGCTGCAAGGTATATAAACCTTGGCTCTTGTCTTTTTAATTAATGAAATTGCCTTTCTCCACTTCTGTTTGTTCTTTTACTGCTTTTCCCTTAATCTTTTTAAACTTGCTTTTGTAAGCTGGAACTGATTTATGAATAATTTCCATCTCGCACCTCTTAACTCGTAAGTTTGAAGGATTGAGCGTGAGATACTTTTTCACATTGCACCCTTAAGGTTTGAATCTGAGTTTCTTTAATTGGTCTTTAATATTTCTCCTCGAACTCAGAAGTCCAGAAGATTATACTAAGCAACAATTTCCTGAACCTTCAACATCGTATCTTTAACTTGAACGTTTAAAGGGTTGAATTTTTGGTTCATAATTAATATTCGCATCGCACCTCGAACCCGTAGGTTTAGAGGACCGAATTTCCTGAACCTTCAACATCGCACCTTTAACTTGAACGTTTAAAGGGTTGAATTTTTGGTTCTAATTGATTTTGACATCGCACCTCGAACCCGTGGGTTCACCTCGAACCCGTGGGTTTTGAGGATCGAATCTAATCAATTTTTGCCCTTGCCGATTTTAATTCTTATGGGAGTCCGTGGCCCCCATTTAATTTCTAATCGAACTCGGAGTTATGAAATTAAATCACTCCATTTATTAAAAGTTCCACCCCTTGAAAATTTTTACAAGCCCCTTCTAGGACTATTTTGACATTTCAGGGGCAATAGCGCTTCAAGTGCTCCGCGTTCCATGGATGCGCAAGCACTCTTCTTTCCAGGTCGGCCAGCATATAAGTTCCAGGTCGGACTATGCCTTTGACCTCGAACGGTCCCTCCCAACTTGGGTCAAGGGTGCCCACATGACTTTGAATTTTCCTTAAGACCAAATGTCCAACTTGGAAGCTTCGAGGTCGAACTCGGGCATTGTAATGTCTGGCCATTCTGTTATGATACTCTGCTAAGCGTAGCTGAGCCATTTCTCTCCTTTCTTCCAATAAGTCTAGGTTAAGGAGTAGCTCTTCTTCGTTCTTCGCTGGCTCGTATTGCTCTACCCTGTCTGTTAGTATGCCGATCTCGACTGGTACAACAGCTTCGAAGCCAAAGGCTAGCGAGAACGGAGTTTCACCAATTGACTCACTTGGGGTGGTCCGATATGACCATAATACTTCGGGTAGCTCCTCGGCCCACTTTCCCTTTCTGGAATCCAGTCTTAGCTTGAGGCCTCGTTTTATGATTTTGTTTATCGCCTCTACCTGCCCATTTGACTTTGGATGCACAGGGGACGAACTGAGGTGGCTTATGCCCAACTTTCTGCAAAAAGTCCTTGAACTTTGCATTATCGAACTGCTTTCCGTTGTCTGTCACAATAGTGTTTGGTATACCGGAACGACATACGATGTTTGACCATATGAAAGATGTGACTCTGGACTTGATAATGTGGGACAATGCCTCGGCCTCGGCCCACTTGGTGAAGTAGTCCACAGCGAAAACGACGAATTTGGTTTACTCTTTTCCTAGAGGAAAAGGACCTATGATATCTACTCTCCGTTGCGCGAATAGCCACGCGGTCGAGATGGGGGTGAGCAGTTCGGGAGGTTGGTGGATAATATTTGCGAAGCGCTGGCAGTTGTTACAGGTTTTCACAAATTGCTTTGCATCCTGCTCGACAGTGGGCCAATAGTACCCTTGTCGAACCACCTTGGCCGACAACGACCTGGCACCTGAGTGGTTTCCACACACTCCTTCATGGATTTCTCTAAGAATGTAAAGGCCTTCTTCGGGAGTAATACACTTAAGCAGAGGCAGGGAGAAGCCACGTTAGTACAACGTTCCTTATCGGAGTGTGAACCGAGCTGCTCTCCGTGCCATCTTCTTTTGCTCCTTCGGTTCTCGCGGTGGATTTCCTTTGATGAACTCCACGATTGGGTCCATCCAAGAGGGTGATGAAGTGTCAACCAACATCACGTCTGGCTCCAAGATTGAAGGACTGTCCAAGATCTCGACCGGGACCGATCTAGCCAGGTCGATCTCATATGCTGATGCCAATTTGGCTAAGGCATCCGCATTGGAGTTTTCAGATCTTGGAACTTGACTCACCTCGTAAGTCTCGAAGTGGGCGAGGTGCGATCTGACCTTGCTTAGATATTTTTCCACTCGGGGGTCCTTCGTTTGGTACTCCTCCTTAATCTGATTTACAATTAGTTGAGAGTCACTAAAGACCTTAATGTGGTTGGCCCCCAGTTCTTTGCCAACGCGCAGGCCTGCCAGGAGTGCTTTGTACTCGGCCTCATTATTCAAAGTCCGAAAGTTGAATCGCAGAGCATACTCGAATCGCTCACCACCTAGTGCGAGCAAGAGGATTCCTGCCCCGTGTCACGGTCGTACATTTTTCAACCGTGCGACGCCATGATCTAAGCTCGACCATGGCCAGCCTTACGAGGAACTCTAGCTCCAATCCACTTTTCTTGAATTAATTAAATTAGGAGAATTAAAAGTTACCACGGCTATTCCGAGTAAGTAGACTAAGTTCTTGAATCAAGAAATCAATTTTGTATAAAGCCTATGATCAAGATTACAATTGGATGAAAATTACACTTTTGGTTCCCTTGGGATTCGACCTAATCTCACAACTTTTACAATTTAGATTTAGTAAAATCAGTAATTATTTTGGAGGGTTTCGACAACCATTACCAATTATGGGCATACAGGACAACCTACAAGACTCCAATAAGAACATCTCCATATAAACTAGTCTTGGGAAAGCATGACATCTTCCACTTGAATTGGAACAGAAGGCATTTTCGGTTGTAAAAAGGTTGAATATGGATTTATCAGCAGCTGGGGAAATAAGGAAGTTTCAACTGCTAGAATTGGATGAATTTAGAAGAGAGGCCTACGAGAACGCAAAGGCTTAATAAAGAGAAGACCAAAGTTTGGCATGACAGAAGGATAAAACAAAGAACATTTGAGGAAGGACAGAAGGTGTTGTTATTCAACTCAAGGTTGAAGTTGTTTCCTGGAAAGTTAAAAAATCAAGGTGGTCAGGTCTGTTTACAGTGGTGAAGGTATACCCTTATGGAGCTGTAACTGTCAAAGAAGAAGACACAGAAAGGAAACTCACAGTGAATGGGCAAATATTGCAGCACTATTGGGGAGGAGAAGTGGTGAGSAAGATGGATTCCCACCGGCTGAGCTCAATATAAAGGGTTCTCAAAACATAATAAAAGGGGGAGAATTTTTGACTATTTGTTTCTCCCCTCCCTTTTAGTTTAATTCTTATTAAGTAGGTGTAAAATTTCTTAGTAGCAGTAGGAATGTTTGACTTGAGGTAATTTTTGTTTGATTTTTGTTTAAGGCAGAGGAAAGATTCTACTATTTAGTCGCTAAAAATACAAGAGCATAATGGATAAAGTTAAGAAAAAAAATATGATCAACCTCGTCGATGTTGGAGCATAAATCAAGGGTTACGAAAAATAAAGTTGGAAATTAAAAGAGGAAGAGTAGTTGGAGGAAAGAGAAAATCAATCATTGCCCACAGCAGTATATTTGTCAGAAAAAAAAATCGTGGGTTAGAGGTTTTAAAACTGAATTATTTTTAAGACATGATTTCCTTCGACGTTTCTTAGGTAAGGCAAAAAAGGGTGGGAGTTTCAAAATTTTAAAGAAAAAGAAGGAAAGGTGAATAAAGGAGTAGTTGGGCCTTATCTGAGCATTAATGAGGAGATTTGTGCTGCGTTTATTTAAGAATGTTGAATTTGGGAGAAAAGCATTACTATCACCAGCAAGATTGAAACCCCAAGTTTGTGATAGCACTCTTTCCCTTCCCTCCCTGTTCCTTCCTGTCACTCTGTCCTTTACCTTTATCTCAGCCCTAGGTCCCCTGCAGCATCGACAATCCGTCAGCAGCGCCAGCCCAGCATGCCTCGGGTTAAAGCAAAAGCAAAGAAAGGTAAGAAAACCATTCCCCCAAAGAGCTGACACCGTCCCCTTCGCCGGAAAAGTCACGAGAGCCAGTTCTAGAGAAGTCCCCCCCAACCCAACTCGTTTACTGAAAACACCGCCCCAGAAAAAAGAAATCCCTTCCCCGCCTAAAAAGAAGCCGGAAGCCGAAAGAGGAAGGAAAGTCGCGAAAAGTAAGAAGCTGCCAGTTCGAACAGACGAGGCAGATCAACTGGTCCAGGAAAGCGAAGCCACTGCAGCTAGCCAGAATTCTGAGCACGAAGAAGTACCGTCCGCAGTTATAGAGGCAGAAGGAGACCCAGAGCTTTCGTCTAAAACCAGCGCAGGGTGGCTGATTTTATGAAAGAGCTTTCCCAAGCCGACAGTCGCAATGAGCAAGTGGGCAGTGATAAGGATAATTTGGGGGAAGGCGATGCAAACAAGGAAAAAGACGGTGAAGGTGAAGTTCTGGTTGAAGAAGAGCAAAACGAGGCAGAAAGGGACAAAGAGGAAGAAGTAGCTCCTGTGCCCAAAGAAAATCGCAGAAAAAGAGGAAGCCCTATCCAATCGCTGAGCTTGACAAAGGGAAGAGGCCAAAACAAAAGATTGACATGTAAGCCAAGAAAAAAGGAAAAGAAAAGGTTGCTGCAGGGCCCTTAGAGTTTCTACTATTTGTTGATGTTGCAGCATTATAAAGATTTGAAAGCCTCAAGGAGCGCAATCTGCTAGGAGAAAGGGGATTCTCGACTGACTCATCCATGTCCCTGTTTGTCTCCGCCACCATCAACAAGTATGAGTGGCAAACCTTTTGCGCGCAGCCCAAGCCTACGGTCATCCAAATTGTCCAAGAATTCTATGCCAACCTCAACCCGAGTGACTCTTCCAAGGTGATGGTAAGGGTAAGAAAGTCTGTTGGATCGTAGAAGCGATCGACGAGGTATACAATCTCCCCAACTACTCTCATGCTACCTTTAATGAGATGATG